GCGGCCCGGCGACGGGGCAGCCCGGCGCCACGGAGCAGCGCGTCTGGCCAGGTAGCGTAATCATAAAGCCACTGCTATGATCTTTACTTTAGACATTCGTAAGATACAAACTGCTGCGCATCTCTGTTCACAACATACGGCTTATGAGAAAGCAGGTAACTTCCACACACTCGGCACTAATGTGTTGTGACTTGACTCAGTACCGTAACACTGAAATGTTGCCGTAAGGCTGCGTGTTTTAACAACTCGCCACCCTCTCCTCCAGCTTGTTATACTCCTTGTTTTTCACAGTGACACTCACTGAAGCTTGAAAATAAAATATTTTCCCCATCATGACTTTTTCCCCTCTTCCATTTGGCTCACATCAACTTATTGTGTGTTTTAAATGGAGCTTGAAATTAAAAATTTTGTTGCTGTTGTTTGTGTTGAAGCATCATCCAGTAATGTTAACACTGTTTAGAAAATGAGGTCACGTGCTAACTTCTGCAAAGGACTCCCCCCTCCATTTTCTAAACCCTAACACTGTGTATTTTCCCATAAGAAGTGGGTCAAATTGTGAATTTCTTGTTACTCTTTTTTTTTTTTTTTAACATTTTCAAACATAATAAAGTAGAATTTTTAAAAATTCCAATGGATGCTGAATGTAAATGAAATTACAAACATTGCAAGAAGTAGTAAATTCATTATTTTTTAAACAATAATATCTAACCGTTCACTCTTCACTCACTGATATTTCGCTGTGTTACAGCTACCTCAACTGTTTACATCTGAGCAACTGGAAAGTAACTGTTAGAGATATCAACATTAAAGGCAAAATAAACTATTCTGTTCAAAAAATTTTGTATTCTGTCGGTACCAGCATTTTACCTCGTGATATGACGAACATTACAGCAACAATATAACTCCCTGTAACTTATCCACGTATAAGAAGATGAAACGATTCCTCCTGTCGGCTTAAACAACATCAGGACTAAACCCTGCCTCAGGAGTTCCAACTATTCTACTCAGAAGGATCCCCTCTGATCTGCCTAACGAGGCTCTGCAGAAGTTGAGAGCAGCCAAAATGATGCTATTTTCTATCACTTTTTCTAGACTGTAAGTAAATGCTCCAAATCAGCTAACCTGTACAGAACATACGAGGCCGTAAAAACATTGCAGATGTCTTTAACCTAAGATTGTCTTTTCCAACTAAGACACAGTAATGTGGATTTTGAAAAGGGTAAAGTAAGGAAATTTAGAAAAGAGGCTTAGCAGTCTCCCACCCCTCCATCCTCTCTTTTCATGTGTTACATGATTTTTTTTTATCTCCACTTTAAGCTGCTATTTAACTTGCCTTGAACCTGTACTTCATACAGATACGGACTTCAGCTACGTTAATGGGATAAAGTGCTGGGAATGGCAATGGTAATCTCTAGCTGTCTTGCCCTCTAAAAGACTCACAATATAAAATGCTACAGGAACAGCCTCCACGATGAGCAGAACCAACTTAAGATTCAGGGAGGTAACAGCAGTACAAACGTAAGAACAGAAACAAGCCGTTCCTGAACGTGTTACTACACGAAAAAGAACGATCGTTAAGGTTGTTCTGTGCTGTTTCGAGGTGCGATGGATTTTCCCGTTTTAAAACAGGCACTCACAAAACACACCGCTCCTCACTCCATCTGCCAGCCATGCAGTGCAATGCAAATGTTAACTTCACCCACACATGCGGAACTGGAAGATTCCAGCAGCATATAAATTAGCATCCTCTCCACGTAAGTTTTTTACATCCAATAACTGAGGAGTAGTATTTCATGTAATGCTAATCCTGCGGCTATCCTGACTCACTCTGCCCGGTTTTCTTGTCCCAGCCTTACTCCTCTGGGTCCCAGGAAGCACAGAAGTGCATGGAGGACTGCTCGTACATCTCTGGCCTCAGGCCTTCACCACCATCACAAGCTAGGACTGCGTAAGGAAGCACACGTTGGATGAGCAAATGTTCCCAATACAGTAAGCACGATTTTCAATGCAACATGTTGACAAGAAAATATTAAAGCAAAACTAATGTAGAAACAGACGTATGTTTTTTGGAATTCATTGGATTTGCAACAGGAGTTTTGTATCTGCATAGGAATAAAGAACATTTGCTTCTCCAGGATGTAGAGGCTACTGAGGATCATGAAGAGAGGCTGTTTTCCCACCTGCCTGTGCAATCTCAGCTGTGTAAATGAAATCGAGATGCTGCTCATGGTAAAACAGGAAGACTTTCATCTACAGGCTGCACAGTTTACAGTCCATTTTTAAAAAAAATATTTGGCATTTCCCATACATACAAAGGCATGTCTCTTCATCCACTGCCTAATTAGAATAAATGATGCAATTGCCTAGCATTTCTTGCAAACAAACAAGATTTAAAAGAAAAAAAAAAGTTCTCTGAAATTCTACACTGAAGCCTGAAGCATTGTATTGCCACAATTTTCAATTTCATTACAAAGTCAGTAATTTACAGTAATTTTGATATAAAATAACTCCTCCATACATGAGACAAGTAGATTTACTAAGTTAAGAACTCTAGACTCATAAACTGCATTTTATTATTAAACCTGGTATTTCCCCATGAATTCTATCACATAAAATGAAATTTAAGAAAATCAAAATGAAAAACTCTTACTTCTTAAGTAAGCAACTCTAATGCGGGAAAATATGAGCAAGGAAATACCTGTTTCTCCCCACAAGGCATCTGTGTCGTTGATGTCTACTTCATGTTCCTTTTCAGTTGTCAAGAGGTAACAAACCACCTGCCAGAAACAGCAGAGATGTGGGGAGTCACAAAAACCATCAGTTGTCACTTGCAAGATACAATAACAGAGAAGAGATTCAGAGCAAGTGAGAGTGCTTCTCTCAATGCACAGGAATCAAAGAAAATTAGTATTTTTCATCATCCAGCAAAGCAGGCTCAGTATGATTTCTAGTATGACTTGAAGATGACTGAATGTTATTGAAAGTAATTTAAAAAAAGCCCAGTGCCCTTCTGTGAACTGGTTCAGGGTGGCTTACATGATTATGATTTAATGAGCTCCTGTGTGACCTACATAATCAAGACAAATAATCAAGACAAATAATGCCAAAAATAAAAATAAAGCATCCCAGCTTCAGTGAGGAAATTCCATGTTGTCTAAAATGAAGGCAAAAAAAGAGAATATTTGCATACATCTTGTAAAATGGGGATTCCTATGTTTTTCCTTTTATATTGTTTGTATCTTTGCCATTTTACAAAATTTCTTCACCGAATGGTTTAAACATACATTGCTAAACACCAATTTATAACTTGTCTCAAATTGAAAAATCAGGTTTTGCTGTGTTTTTATTTTGTTAAGTAAAGGTATGTTTTGTAACCATCTGCTAGTAAAAGATTATTACATTAAAACAACTTCCACTGGCTATTTGAAACAAATTTTCTAACGGGGGACACGGTCACTGAGACTGCAGCAAGCAGGTAAGGGAGTAGAATCACACTAATGAAAGTTTCGGATGCTATGGGAAAAAGCTAAAGTAGGAAAGGAGAAAGGACATGGGTATTTTCAGGCTGTATGAGAAGTGTTGTATACAGTGGATGGAAAATCCTAAAATTTGAAATGCTAGAATAATTTTTTTTTTTAAATTCATGAAACACACCAGCCTTTTTTTCTAGCTAGAGAATAATTAAGCTTCTTATTGTCCTAAAAATAGGTGGACATTTTCCAGCAAGAGTATGTATTTATGGTTAACGTGATCTACTTTGCTGATATGCAGGAGTTGACTGCTTTCATTTAATCAGTGGATAGCGAACAAGAACTTTTATTAAGAGAGTGAGGGAGTTATCCATCGTATGAAGTTAAGCATAGTTTTACACCATCAAATTTGTATTGTGGGACTGTCATGGCTTATATATCACATAATAAAATAATTGCGCATAAGATATTTCTACGTTTGAATCATGTAAACAACTTGATCTTATAGCAATTTTAAAAAATAGATTTAAAAGAAGTAAATATTGAAATGGTTTTATTGAAGAAATTTTAAGTTTCCACTTTCGGCACATCACTTATAATACACAGGAATTTCCATCAGGCTAGTGTGATCTTTATCCAAGTATCTTTACTTACCAATTAATTTTATATCAAGGTTAAGATTTATTTTCCCAATGAACAGATGACATACTTGTATTATCTAAGTATCTAAAGCATTTTAAGGATTTCTTATGTGTTTACTTTTAGTGTTACTTTTAATGAACAATACTGCAATGCTGACAAACACTTATATACATGCACAACCCCAGATTTCTACCTGAAGTGACAAGAAGCTGAAGTAAGCTGAAGTCTGTAACCTGACACGTGCATCAGGTTAAGAAGTTAAGCATGCGCAAGTATGTGCGATATAGAATTTGTTATACTATGAAAAAAAAAAATCAACCTAAAGTAGAAACATACTAGGGTGGATCACTGATACAGAATATCATCACTCCCACTTAGGACAACTTCCAAGAACAGTGAGAAAAAAGTAAACAGAAAATTACGTATAAATAAATCCTGAAGTAACTAATGTTATTGGATAATTAACTGCAGCATTTAAAACAGCCGCTAAGAATGCATACTACTTTAAATACCAGAAGTTTCCATAGTTCTGCTTTCCAAAACTCTTTTAAAAATAGCTGCAAGTAATTCTCAAATTCAAACAGCTCTGGAAATGTTTGAACTATCAACCTACCTGACGATGTCCCATACTGGAAGCTGCTGTAAGTGCCTGTTGCAGTGCCTGGCTTTTTCTTAGTGAATTTTGTTCTTGGGAAGGAGTTATCCAAACCACATTGAGCAAGTATTCAAGGATATCACAATTCCCTCTCAATGCGCTATGGACCAAAGCACACTGGCCTTTCTTGTCTACATAGTCAGCCTGCATTGGGGGGGAAGAAAAAAAGTTCAAAGTTAAAAAGTCTAGTGAAAGGCATGGAGAGGAGAAGCTCCTGAGCACTGCAAGAGAGCAAATGTCACGCCTGTCCTTCAAGAAGGACGAGAAGGAAGATCTGGGGAATTAAAGGCCAAACAGCCTCACCTTAGTTTCTGGGAAAGTGATGGCAGAAACTAATCCTGGACACCATTTCCAAACACATGAAGGACAAGAAGGTGATCGGGAGGGGTCAGCATGGGTTTACAACTGGGAAATCATGCAAAACCAACCTGACAGCTTTCTACAACGAGGTGACTACCTCGACTTCAGTAGGGCTTCTGACACTGTCTCCCATAACACCGTCACGGTCAAGCTGATGAAGTACAGGTTATGTAAGCGCACAGTGTGGTAGATCCAAAACTGGCTGAACAGATGAGCCCAGAGGGTTGTGATCAGTGGCATATGGAAAATGCTTCATGGAAGTCTGTGTAGACGAGCTGGACTCCCTGTCCCCAAGTCTATGTGTGTTAATTATATAATTATGTAATCAGCTAAAGTTTTCTTAGGGTTTTGCCTGTTTTTCTTGGTTGTAAACATTGCAATCTTTGCCCATCAGCTTACCTTTGCACCTTTTTTGCACAGCAGTGAAACTATGTTCATGTGACCTGCAGCGGCTGCATAACTAAGTGCTGTCATTCCATTTTCTGAAGTTCCATCAATAGCAGCTCCAAATTCTAGTAAAAGAGTCACCACTTCTTCATGTCCAAGGTGCGACTGAACACACAGCACGGGAGCATTGTTTAATACTTCAGTCCTATAATTCACATTTGCTCCTGCCAAGATCAGCAGCCGACTCACCTAAAATGTAATTTAAACAAAATAAATTTTTCCTCAGATTTGTCTGAATTTATTAAAAGACTTTAACATCTTAATTCAGGTACTCATATGCTACTCCCTGATTTTGATGCAGACTTTATTGTCAGACATTGACTTTATCACATATACAGCAAAATGAAAGTTTAAAATAAACTGTTACTAAATAAATTATTGTTGTTACTAAATAAATTATTGTTATTACTGACCTATGTATTCCTAATACAAGACTCACCTCTCCCCTGAAACTCACAACTCTCTCACCACAATTTCAGCTGTCATAACGGTTGGATTTTTGAAGGTGTGACTTGGTACTACTCTGCAGATTTATGTAATTGACTCCATTAATAGAGAGCCAGACTGCATAAAAAGCAATCTCAAAAAAAATTGTAAGAGCATGCATGTGTGTGCACGTGCACGCAAATTTCCAAGCAAAAGGCTTAGTAGTTGGCTAAAGTTGCAACTTGCCAACTTGGATTTCCCTATCCACAATCCAGGGATTCAAATAATAGTACAAAGTTCTGGCATTTTACATCCTTTCACCCTTACAGTATTTCCCCTTTTACAGTTCCCTTGATACTTCCTCACGCAAGAAAACACAGCTGAACTCGTCCCAGCACATCAGGTGGTACATCTGAGCCCCGCACTTGCCTATGCTACAGACCGTGGATACATAAGAATCAGGGTGAAACCCTTCTTTCCGTGAAAACTATCAAGGAAAACTGAACTTTAACAATAGCTTAAAAAAGGTACATGAAGACTTGTTATAAAGTAGTTCAGTTACAGATGCACAGTAGTGGCTTTTTTTCTTCGCATTCATTTCCCTGTTCATCACACTTACAGCAAGAGTGGCAGGCGAAGCACGCATTATATGTGAATGCTTATTTTCCTACCTTCACGTTGGGTGTGTAGATGTTTCTCAGAGAAGCAAGGGCTGCAGACAGTCCATCAGTACTATAACCAATCCATAAGGCTTGAAGATGACTGGAAGAAATTCCAGTCCTTTTACTGAGACCCTAACAGAAATGATAGAACAGGAAATCTCTCTATAGGATTAGAAATACTATATCTACATCCCATCGGTACAAAGAGAAGTAACAATTTTGTTTGTTAGCATTACCAAGTATTTTGCATAAGCACCTAACAAATTATTAAAGCAACTCAGAGGAGAGTCTCTAAGATGCATCCATATGAATAGATCATAAAAACTATTAAAGCTGTAAGCTTTACCTTGAAAATGTGAGCTTTAAGTATATGATGACCAAGTTCCATAGTTTGTTGGCGGTTTAACTTTCCTTCTTGTCGAGAAAACATGAAAGCCAGTAGAGCATGTCCATTCCTAGTAAAAAGGATTAAGAGGGAACTGCTTTTATAACTATACTTTCACTAAATATGCTAACACATCCGTATGCCTGTCATAATAGCTCAACTTTCTTTGTCAGACTACTGAAACATACTATTACATCTCAAGAAAATTCTTTCCACAACAAAATAACACAAAAAGGCAAATTTCAAAGTTGAAACACACTCCTAATATTTCTCTGCTGTCACCCCACAAGAGGCCGATGTCCGAACCAATGCAGCTTTGGTCACCAAGTTGCATACTGCTCCCCTTTTGTCTTGTTTCATCTCACAGTGAGGAACTGCAGGTACCTCAGATAAAACCTAATCCTTTCAGAAGCAGAAGACCCAAATCCTTTTGAAATTTGAGAAAAGATGCGTGTGTAGTAATTCTACATCTACATTAGTTGGCAGTCAGTGTTCTAGGAAACGGTGGAAATGGCATAACCCTGAGAAAACAAGGTTTATCGCACGCTATACATTAATCAGACTACATACTGGAACTGGACAGTTAACCATTTGCTAATTGGACTACTCATCTGGGGGACGAATTTGTGGGGGGCTTCTTGCCCCATCTTCGGGTATTTCTGAACAGAACTTTCCACAAACGCAAGTTTTAAGTATGACTAGGCAACACGTCACCTTCTGTCAGAGCGTGCACTGTGCATCAGGTGTTCAGTGGGCCCAGGGTGCAGCTAGCAACGTCGAAAGACAGTAGGGCCAAGCCGTCTGTCACCCTGGTAGTTCCACCTGCTGCACCGTTTTTGTTAAGTCTACTTGAAAGGACAGAGAAGTCTTGGGTTGGTGGCAATTTTAAATGTCAGCATTATTTATTCTTTTCTAAAAACAAAAAAAAGTAAAACCCTGAAGGATATGAAAAAAAATGGACTATGCAGACTGCGAGAACGTGCATGTACAGTAAGAGCTTATTGTTCCTGATTTAACTAATTCACACTCTCTAAGTCAAAGAAGGTGCGATGGAACAAACTGAAACAATCCCATGAGGATATAGTTACAGAAAGAAATGTCTTAATATTTTTATGTTTAAAAGAGCCCAAATGATCTGTTCTTTCTATTCCTGAACTCTAATAAAAAAGGTGTTGCTGCAAGTAATTCTCAACAATCCTGCTCTATTAATAACAACATAATACTTTCATTTCCACATGAAGGTAGCAAAGTCAAATGCAAATTTCCAAATTCTACCAAGTCAATCATGCATTGTAACCTCTGACACTTCTGGTAAAGTCCACCTCTAAATATATAAAAGTTTTCATTTTGGAAAAAGTTAGGCATACTTGTGTTTTAACATTACCTTCTCCTCTTACCAACTGTTGCAAGCAATTACATAAAACATAATTGCAGTTATCTGAACTTGATTTACTGCAGGTTTCATTTACCTTGGCTCGCATAAGAAGTCAGTATTTTCACCGTCTGCTCTCCAAACAAGCCACTCCCTGAAGGAAGGATGGCAGAACATACGTGTTTTGTCACGTCTTTTTATCAGAAAACATGAAAGGGCTTCCATCCTTTGGCTGAAGTCTTCCCACTGTTGTTCACCATTTATTTGGCCTGCATTAATAGCTTGGAAAATCTGGTCATCTGTCATGGGATGTAGGGATGCCAGTGCCACATTTAATATCGGCAGGGCTCGCTCGAAAGCAGAGTTTGTCATGAACTTCATATTGCACTGAAGTAAGTACAGTTCTGATAGAGACACTGGAACAACCTTGTAGCTTGCACTTTTGATTACTAAGTGACCTTTTTGGAAAAGATCCAGAGTGAGCTTCAAATAGAGGTAAGATCCCAGGCTTCTCATGATGAGGTGGTTACTCACTTTCCCAATAATTGCTGCATCAGCTTTTCCATTTAAAGATATGTTGTTTATAATTTCCTGGCTGTTACTAATTCTGTACTGAATGTAAGCATTCAAGTCCTCATGAATTGCTTTGTTGTCTGGAAAATTGTCCAGGGATATCACGATAAAGGGCAGTGAACTTACTACTTCCTATGAGGGAGAGAGGAAAAGAAAAAAAAGAAAGAAAAAAAACCCACACAGGCATTACAGTATTCCAGCACTGAAAACTCAACAATACATCTTTGCAATATTTCTCTTCTGTAATGAGTACCAGACAGATTAAAAAGAAATTTAGCATCTCTGCAACGGCTTTGCAGATATTGTCCCCGATAACACGTAGAACAATATTTCTGCATTCCATCATTTTTCATAGGAAGGTCTCAAATATCTTACTGACCAAGGTCAGCAAGGCAATTGAAGGGGATGAGCTATAGAAATGACCACTTCAGAATTAAGAGAACAGAAAACAGTTACCAGAATTGGGCCCTAAGACAGGCCAGGGGAAGCAGGGAGGTGTAAGGAATGATCTGCTGAGAAGGAATGACTTATAAAGAAATATCACAAAAGAGAGAAAAGAATCTCATCATCATTACCTCTTACCAATAACAACATACCACCAAGGCGCCATGCAAACATACACAGCCCCATTTAGTGTAAGGCAAGTACCAAGTATGGCACGGTCAGACACTTCCAACAGGTTCACCTGAACACGTTTTTGTGTTTACGTGACACAAAACACATCTGTGTTTATGTAAATAAAGATCTGAAAGACCTAACACTTCTTACATAGAGGCGTATATCAGAAGGGTTTATCAAACCCCTCCACAACTTCACAGCACAAAAAGGAACTCTTTACTCCACTTCAAGGAAGTTACATGGATTTCAAAAAGCTGAACTTTCCGGCTAGTGAGACGCTTTCATCACAGACACACACTTCTCCAGAGAAGAAACAGCCCCTGCTACAGAAATCCCTTGTTAAAAATAAAAATTTATTTGAGAACTAAGCTCTAAGCCAGCTAAATGCTTGGAGTCCTAGTGGCAAGAAGGCGGGTAAGAAATAAACTCTCAGAAGGCCGCTCTGAAGCACAGCCGCCCCTCAGCGCCGCCAGAAGGGGCCGCACAGCAC